ATACTTTACATTGCTTATGACTGTGAGAAAAGTTAAACCAGCTAATATTTAATTTTTCAGTTTGGTTAAATAAATTGGATCACCAAGACAAATCACTCGGTTTGTCCCAGGCTGGGTTATATAGGCTCTTGAAATAACAGTTAGAAATGCTGGAAGATAAGCAGCAGAGCTGAGGTCTTGTCTTGGGTATTTCTATAACACTAAGAATTCATATCATGTTAGTTCCAGTAGGAGTATTTATATTTAACCTGACATATGCACAACAGACTTAAAGGATTCTTTTTTAACTTCTGCAGCTCTGACTTGTAGAGGTAATTTAAGGCTATAAGAGTACTGCTTCTTAAACTTATTTTTGGAATCTCTTAATCTATTTGTAATGGAGAACAAGGTCATACAGTCCCTACAAGCTTTATCCTTATTTCCTGCAAATCTCATTACTGCTCTGGAGCACAAGCAGACAGTTATGTCTTAGCCCTGGACATCCTGGTAGGATTCAGAGCGGCGCTAATTATTGTGATAGGGAGACAGTGAAATGTACTTTAAGGAACATCTCTGCTAGATGCTGAGCTAGAACAGGTTTCAAGCTAAGTGACAGCATGCCACAGTCCGTGCAGTGTTAGTAACAAAAAGCCCTTTAAACAAGGAAAAAAGTCCCTTCATCTAGTCACCTGTGTTGTACAGTAGTAATAAAATACCTGGCAGTTGGTGGAGCTGTTTTTTCCTTTTTGCTACTCAACTCCAAGAGGAAGAGAAGCTGATGATCCCGGCAGAGCCATGGGGCTGCGCTGCTGTTCGGGGTCAGGACTTTGATGAGGACGGGGCACTTGGTGGGGCGAATTCCATGTGGGATGCTGCCTGCATTGCCCTCTGCTGTGCTCTCGGGCACTCTTAAACTTAGCAAGGCATCCAAAATCCATAGGCAGGCACCAGGAACGACAGACCAGGCAAAGCAGGTGCATGTGGGTAAGCAACAGACAAAGGAAAGCTGAGAGGAAAGCAAGGAAAGCCTAGGACCAGTTTACAAAAGAGCTTGGAAACGTGGAGTTTCATATTGGGAAACTTAATTTTCATCTAGACATTTTCCTGGAATTTAATAATAATTTAATAATAGAACATAATAATAATCTATAATACAATATTTCATTTGTTGCCTTCCAGAAGATGTGATGAAAAGTAATGATGTAGTGTGTGATCACCAAAATGTTAACATTATCACTTTGACAAATTGAGGAATAAACGGAAGCAATCTGGCTGTGTGTTTTTTCAGGGCGATGGTATATTGTCAGAGGACATTCCTATAAGCCAACCTAGATCAATAGATACACAATATAATTAGCCTACATTTGGGTTTTTTGGTTGTTTTGTGGTGGGTTTTTTTAATTAGTAAGTGGCAGATTGGGAGCAGTTACTGACTCAGGTCCGTTCTGGGTCATCAACTGCTCAGTATTTTGCCAGATTATTGGCAGGGAAAAATAATTAATACACTAATTAGATGTGGATCATGCAAATCTAGAAATTTCAAATAATTTGTAAGATAAGATATGGAAGGAACATGAAGCTAATGTATTTTGATGGTAGGTGAGTAAAAATAATTTGCTGCGCAGCATCTTGTGGAAAAACAGCTTTGTGGTGAGGGGGAGGGTTAGGCTTGTGTAGACTTGTTTATAAACAAGGATATCTTGACTTTAGGGAGAGATTCTGGGCAGAGCAGCCAATTATAAAAGATTAGGAAAATAGGGCACACAGTGAAACATTTGCAGCAAGGGAGAGCTGCAGTATTTTTGCTGAGGGGACATTTCCGGAAGGCTTAGGGCCTGGGCATCCCTAGCAAATAAGAACAGAATAGAAGAGCCACGTAGGTTAAATGTTACCAAGCACTTACTTAGGCGCCGAACCAAGTTACAAAACCATTTTCACTAGCGAGACCAGACACGGACCGTGAAAGGTGGCTCGAGCATGACACTGGACCCTCTTCTGACTCGCCTGTGTAGTTCTGGCTAACCCTGTGTAGCCCTGATGACGTGGTGCAGGTCCCTCGGGCAGAGTGCAGCCGTGGGTGCTGCTGGCCGTGCTCCAGGGCGGCAGTGCCTAGAGGCCTGGCACCCCTCCGGGGGTAACGCTGCCCTCGGAAGATCGATGTTTGTTAGAGCTGTAAGGTTAGATCTGTGCTGTCCCCTGGGCTACTGCAATGCTGTTAACGTTCCTTGTCGATGATCTGTGGGTAAGTTTTGCACAAATACGGGGTCCTGCAGGAATGTTTCTGGAGGATTGGAAATGCGGCTCTCCTAATTTGAGGAGCTAATTTTATATGCATACATTTATGTATAAAAGTATACATATATAGTAAAATTATATATTAAATTATAATTACATATTAATTAGGTGTAATAATTATAATTAATACTCACAGTAACTATAATTAATGTATAATAATTACATATAAAAATGTCTTGGATGCAGGTTCTTTTAATGTAACATCTTTCTGTTGTGAACTGGCAGCTAATATCCTGGAAAAAACCTGCTACTCGGTTATTGGCATTTGCATAAAATCGTTAATCACTCCTCCCGCTTGTTTTGCAGTGGCGCTGGGCTGAACGTTGCAGTGCTGCGTACTGGGGCACATGGGAGCCGCTCCTGCTCCACGAGGAACAGCGGGAGGCTGCCCCAGATAAATGAATAGTTCCTTTTTCCTTTCTGTCCAGCAGTACGATCTAACAAACTTGAATGAAATTTTAATTTATGCCGAGGCTTCCCGGCTGCTTGCTGCTTCAGTAATTCAAGGAGTGACGTATCCAAGTTGCTTGGCTGTTAACTTTTTACTCGCCAGCTCTCAAAAAGCTGGGTGGGTGTCCGGTTGCGTTCTCACTGAGATCCTGACATTTACTTCGCTGTACAAATTAAAAATAGCAGCTGCTGTTGATTTCAGCATATCGGATGATTTGCAGCAGTGCAGAGCAGAGAGCGTGTGGGCTGCTGTCCTTCCTCCCGAGGACACTCGCCAGTGGTTACTTGAAGTTTTAAGTACTAACGTGTCTCAGGAGCACAAAAAAGAAAAAATTGGTTTGTGGATGTATGAGAGGAGGAGGAAGGGTAGGAAAGGGAAGAAGGCTTGTTCTGTTACGTGAAATGTGATTCTTTGTTTTTCACTTACATTAAAGCAGTATTTTTAAAAAAAATTACTCAGCCAGTTAACGTTACTTTACCTGCAATTCCAATTCACAAATGAGCATACCACTAACACAAAATACGGAGAAAGAGAGGTTTTTGTGTTGGCTTTGAGGTCATGGTGTGAGTCCGTTTGTTTTTAGTACATTTTTTCATGGGATTACTTGTGCTTTAGCTCTCGGAGCTTTCCCTACAAGCAATTGAAAGGCAAACAGTTAAAGGAATGTGTATGGTGGCAGTGACTCTTATGTCTGTGGAGGAGTTTTACCTATCATTCTTCAGTGGGAACAAAGAACATAAGGATCACAGACAAAAAGCTACATTCCTAAAGGTTGACTGCGATGCTGCTTAGAACCATAAAAACTGTAGATGTTCCGCCATTTGAACAGGACAAATGGAGAGCAAATATCTCCTGGGGTAGGAAGTCTGTTCAAGAAAACCATTGACACAGAAAAGAGTGGAATATTAAACTGCTCTTTGTGATTTCAATAGAGAAATTAAAGTGGTTATAAATGTACTGCATAATTTGGACATCTTAAACATTTGTGGCACGGGGAGGTTTTATTAAAAATATTTCAGACAAATAGACTGCTCTTTCCAATTTCTTCGCCTTCATGTGAACCATCAGTCTATGCTGTGTCTGTCTGGGAACCTTGGCAGAAACCAGCTAAGTTACGAGAATCCCAAGTTCCAGCTTTCCAGAATCAGTGAAGGAAAGAAACACATAGGAAGGTGCTTGTGTTACCAGTTATTTCTTTCAGTAAATAATGTTAATAATGTAGGTCTTGTCAGCAAAGCACTAGTGAACCATCAATGATTTCTTCCCAGGGCTGGAGCCATCAAATCCAGCTTAAATGTTTTGGTCAACATCTAAACCCAAAACATTAATTCCTTAAAAATCTGTGTAACTCTTGCCCCTTGTTGGACTGTCTGAACACTTATGAGCTAAAATAATCTTTTTCGTCTCGCAAGTATACCCAGAACTACTTCTTTATAGAACTGAGATGCTTGTTATTCATCCTGCACCTTGGCAATGAAAATGCTTACCCTGTCAAACAGGCTGTGGAGTAACAGTCATAGTGTGCTCTATTTTTCTTAATTTTTGATTTAACGGTTTAGTGCAGTGACCAGCAGTGTAGGAGATGTAGGTCTAATTTCAGCCTCTGTCTTGCAGATAAATTAAGTAGGAAGACATGTTGCCTGGGGGGAACCTGCCATTCACTTCCTTTTGGAATGACTCTATGAAAAGTGGGATTTCCATGGCTCAGAGAAAAAGAGAAGATCCCCCCAGGAGGGGTACCTGTCCTCCAGCACCCCAGCACAGCTGACACTCTCAGAAATTCACGTTTCCAGTTTGTGACTGGACCCAGTCTAAAGGCTATGGGTTGTTTTGAGGTTGTTTGGGGTTTTTTTGTTACCTGTCTGGGTATTGTGCAGACTGGGAGGTGTGCAGCCCCCACACATGGAAAGGAGGTGGTGGTTATATTGAACTGTTTAAATATTAGTAAGACTTTTGTAGTCTAAGCTAGTAGTTAAAAACCACCTAGACTATCCTTCTTCGGGAAGGAAGAATGAATTGCCACAAAACATCAGAGAGAAAGAAGATACTTTGGTAGGCATGAATGAAGTGTTTGTGTAGAGGGATCAGCCTTGGCTGAAAGAGAAGTGCTGTATGACCACAATGCAGACTTCTTCACTGCATGGTTTAATTTACTCCAACTTGGGATTCATAGGCTCAACATGCCTTTATACACTCAGCTGTACAGGACATTCTCTTCAATTTTGTGGAAAAATCACATCCAAAGATTCCTGAGTTTTGGTTTCTTCTCTCCAAGATTATTACAGTCCTGCAATGTTGGGCCTGAAAACTGATCAGGAAGTCCTTGGAGAACTTGTGAAAATGAAAGTTCCAGCTGTGGCAGAGCTGATGGAAAGACATGGAGTCATGTGGACCCTAGTGGTGTCACGCTGGTTTATATGCTTGTTCATTGACATTCTGCCAGTAGAGGTAATTGGTAATATAAAGTTCTCTTAATATACACTCATAATCATTATTTCATTTGTAGTGCTTTAGTAATAATTACCTACTGGAAATCAAGAAGCTGTAATCTGAATTCTCCCCTTTCCTGCAGACTGTGCTCCGAATATGGGATTGTTTATTCTATGAAGGGTCAAAGATCATCTTCCGTGTGGCCTTAACGTTAATTAAGCAACACCAAGCTTTTATTTTGGAAGCCACGAATTTCCCTGACATTTGTGATAAATTTAAGCAGATCACCAAAGGAACATTTGTAACGGAGTGTCACAGCTTCATGCAGGTAAATTCTCTGCAGCTTTTAGTTCTTACAAATTAAAAACAAGACTGACTTAGAAATGTTTTGCTCAGTCAAGAAGATGGATATGGTTAGGAGAAATGTATCAGTAGGAATTGCCAAAAGGATGAAGAATGTTTTTATATAAGAAATGCAAATCTTTTAAAGAATTTTTCAAAAGAATTACTATCTAAATCCATGCATAGTAAGTCATTCACATTATCTGTCATACAGGGCAAAAAATTCTTTCTGCCCTTTTTACCAGCTAAGCCAGGAAGTCTGACGAGAAAATAACTTTAGTGCATTCTTTCAGTGAACTATACATTGTGTTCCTGTGCTCTTTTTCAGGTGAATTGTAGTAGAATATTGTAGAATAGACACAAAGCTTTCTGCCCTTTTTACCAGCTAAACCAGGATTTCTGATGAGAAAATAACTTTAGTGCATTCTTTCAGTGAACTATACATTGTGTTCCTGTGCTCTTTTTCAGGTGAATTGTAGTAGAATATTGTAGAATAGACACAAAGTGAATTTTAAACTTGCACTGATAAATATTCATAGTGCCAGAATATAAAGCATTATGTTTAGTCAAAGAACAAAAAGGTAGCACCAAGTTCTTTTTTCCAGACAAAATCCATGAAGTTGACTGCTCAAGTCTTATGACAACCTGCAAACTAAGAATTATTCTTGTAAACTATTAATAGATTGGATGCCCCATCTGTATAAAACACTAGATTCAGAGCTTAACTCAGAAGATTGAAATGTAAAAGATGTTAATTAAAAAAAACACAACAAAAAGGCAGGAGCACATCTGTCATAAATCACTTGGCCAACTCCACTATCATCGTTTGCTAAGTGTGTGTAACACTATATCCCAATAGGTGACTTTTACTCCCAAAAGAGTTTTGTGTTCATGTCAGAGCTCTGTGCATAGGTCTGTCATAGTAGGATGTCATTTATGTTGTTTCATCTTTGCTCATATAGAAGAAAAATAAGCTTAACTTACTAGTGTTTGTGAGCCTTTTAATTAAAGGAGCAAGGGAAAAATAAATCGCAGGTACAGCTTAATTTAGAGAGGAGATGTTTGAGGGGTTTTCCCATTCCATAACAGGTTTTAAATAAGAGTTTTGTTAAATGTTAACTGCCATGAGATTGATACAAACACTTGTCCTTGAAGGACTTCCCCCCTCCCCCTTTAATTACATTACATTTTACAGCAGCTGTTTTTAGAAAAATCAGCTACTTTTTTCTTGCAATTACTCTGAATAAAACATTTATTTTAACTGTGGTGGTTACTGTAGTGAGGGGCTTTCAAGGCAATTAAACAAACAATTTAGGTTAAGTTCTTATGTAACTTTGAAACACATACTTTTGGGTTTGTGTTGTTTTTTTTTTCCAGCAGTAGACAGTGGTAGCAGCGGAGGTGATGACAGTTCAGTATTTTATACCCCCCTCCCCCTGAACAAAATCTTAGTTTTTAGTTTAATGCAATGCAGACTTCTTTACTAGAATGCTGTTCAAAACTGGCTCAATTATAATCTGATCTCCAGAGTTGTCAGTTACAACTACAGAGAACTGAGGGGCCCACACATCTTAACTGTAGGTTAAAGTGCATAAACTTGCAGCTTGCTTCATAGTTTTGTTCAGTCAGAAGTTTTAGATGAAGTAGTAAAAACAAATGTTTTGTTCTTGAGCAACAAAAGTCAAAGCAAAAAATATTACAGATGTGTGACAGCATTTGAAATGCCTCAAATTCTTACATCCATATACATTGCTACTCTGGAAAGATCAGTAGAGAAGAAGAGCAAAGGTGGCACAGCAAGGGACTAAGACTGATTTTTTGCAGTAGGAACATATTGTTGTATGCATGTATGGGTGCCAGAGCCTGAACAACCTATGCTAGCTCCACAAAATGCACTGGTGCTTTGTAGCATTACCCAGGATAGCTTAATACGTTCTAAATACATCTGCCATCCACCAACACAAATGCCTTCTAAAATAATTTTAACTGGATGCTTACATTCAAACTAGCTTTTGTATTGTTGCTTTTGTGTAACTTACAGCACTTGTTATGAGCTGCAGGTTTACCATGTCTTTACAGCAGAGTAGCTGGAGATGCTACCCTGTTACAAGGAGGCCAAACAGCAGCAAGCATTTTCACAGTATGGATGTCAAAGCAGGGATTTCACACTTTGGAGAATTATGTGAGAATTCCAGCATGTTGTCTAAAGACAGAATTTTAACTAAGAATTTTCTCCTTTTGCCCCCAGAAAATATTCACAGACCCTGGAAGCTTGTCCATGGCAACAATTAACAAACTCCGAGACACTTGTAGAGAGAAGTTGCTTTCTCAGGGGTAACTCACCAGATTTAACCAGGTGGTCAGATACTACAGCAATTGACACATTCCTCTATTTGCACTGACTAGAGCACACTTTAAGCTTTCCATGAGTCAACTGACACTTGACCAATCTTTCCTGCCTTTCAAGTAAGTGTTGTTAATATTTTGTACTGTATGTCAGACTTCATAACTGGAACTGGTGGTTCTGTTGTTTGTTTGTTTGTAAGGATTAAAGTGTTTTCAGAGTAGAATGTGATCAGTGTCAGGACACTCCTTTTAAAAAAGCAATTACCATCCTTGTCTTTTCAGGGCATTTTGTAATGTTAAAAGAAAACAGGTGTATAAAATTACATATCCTTCCTACTGTATTAACTGTGACACTGCTATCATTTGTACAAAATAAATTAATTTAATTTGTCAGAACCTGTTTCTTGGTGTGAAGAGAGTAAAATATCTGATCTCTTTCCTGACTGCCACTAGTTGGCTAGAATACAAGCATCTTCCTTTTTCCTTGCTGCTGTCACTTAAGAAACTCAATAAATATGGTAAAGTGCAGGGCAAGACAGCAATGAGGAAGGTGATCTTCATCTTCACTAACAGTTACTCTATGCAGTGTGTAACAGCTCTTCAGGTAAAGGCAGCAGGGAACACGTGCAATCCAGGCTACAGAAAGCAGCAGCAACAGTTCTTTTCTAACCACTCTTAATATCTTATACACTTATTTGGGGTTTTCTAGCTCTAGCACAGTAGGTAACAAATAATTTCACTCAAATCTGGAAGTAGCATTTCTCACTTTGTTGTTAAGGGATGCTGAAAGTAGATGCTGCGCTATGTGCTGGTATACTGAGGTTGCGCTACAGGTGTTGTTGTTAAGGGATGCTGAAAGTAGATGCTGCGCTACTTTGTGCTGGTATACTGAGGTTGCACTACAGGTGCTATATCCTCATATACCTGTGTCCCTGAAAATGTTGGGAGAAACACTCATAAAGATAGCCACAGACAGACTTCTTCCTTGCCAGGGTGAGACATCGGGCAGTTCCAAAGCTGTACCTTAATGCAAGTCTAAATATCCTACCCCTGGACAGAAACAAGCAAAGCAGCAGCCCAGCCCCTGGCACTTCCAGCCCTGCTGGAGCCAGGTGCCTGTGAATTGCTTTCTTGTCCTTACAGAGCCCTCTCGTGGCCAAATCCTTTCCCTCTCCTTCCTGCTGGGGAAGGGAGGGAAGACTGAAGAGAGGCCAGCAATTTGTGCTTTTTATTCTCCCTGTTGAACTACTGTGGAAAGCCTCACCTTTTAACACCACACCTCTTTTCAGACTCTACTCCAAGTTATCTTCATTCCTTGTCAAGTAAGGCTTCCCCCCCCCCGCAGATTGAGTTTGTTTCATTCCTCAGCAGGAAAAAAAAGTTTCAGAGGAAGCAGATGGGTGCTCTTCTAGACAAGTAAAGACAGCTACTTAGCAGTATCATTCCAAGCTATCCCATCCTTTACAGTACCAGACAGGCACCTTTCTCCCCAAGTACTGAGTTGTAAGGACAGTAGCAGTACCATACTTCTAGTGCATCAGCAGGTATTAGCAAATACTAGTTTATTCACCACTGGCAAACCCCACAGTTTCCAGGCACTTTCAAGCTAGCAGGGGATATGGTCCAAAGTATACCAGCCTTATGCCATGCGTCCAGTTCTCCTTGTCAGAAGAATAGTGTTCTGTGCAATGTTTCAGTGTGCCTTGGTTCCTGCCCCGTGTCGCTAGTACTGTTAACACCAAAACATTACTGCAGGAGGGAGTCAGGGAAGCTTTAAACACAAAGGTTCATTTCCAAGCACATTACAACACACAGACCTCAGCAGACAAGCATCTCCTACTCTGTGGCAAGAATCCCACTTCAAAATAAAACATAAAATGTTGTCATTTACACAGTCCTTGTACCGAGTATCTTAACAGCACTTTCAGAAAGCGATGCTTAGCAGGGCAGACCAATATACTGACATTTCTCAGCAATTTAATGTAAGAGTTATCTTCTCCAGATCTCAGGTTACTGATACACAGAAGCTTTACCTGTTTCCAAGCACAAAGTCCAAAAGGAGGGACTGTTCTGAAGCCACATACACAGTTAAGCCTCATCTTTGTGCCACACAGAAAACAAACATTTCTTTAACATAACTCCACACTAAGGACTGTTTAAAGCTCTCAAAGTAGAGCCAAACCAGGACTTTAGCACTTACCAAACAGCCAAATGTTTTTAAGAGTGATCAGCAACACTAAGATATACAGAAAAAAAGTGTCTTTATTAGCATTGTTACAGGCAATGCATACATAAGAACTGATCCTTAAAGTGTACAACCCCCCAGCCAAGTTTAAAGCAAGAGAATCAGCAGATTGAGATCTATATTGTACACATGTGCAGTAACAGGATCTCTCTGGACCTTCCAACAGAAGAGACAAATCACTTTACAAAAAAAGGTAAATAAAAATAACACCCATTTTAAAAAAGTACCAGCTCCTAACAAGCTGGCATAGCATCAAAAATATCAAACAGGGGAGCTGTCCAATCATAAAGAGTTCCTGTAAGGTCTGAGTATTGCGTTGTTCACACCCTGCATATGCCAGGCATTCAGTTTAAAGCTTAGTAAAAAATACACACCTAGAAGACAAGGTGGAGTTTAGATTTTAAATTTCAATTTTGTCAGTTGTTACTAAATTTCTTTAAATGCATCATCAGTATAATTAACATCGTCGCTGGATGGCAGCAGTACGAAGAATGAACCTTTTCCCTTTGTTAAGAGTTCCGAAATTGAGTCAGTGTGAATTAGCAACATCCCTCTCTGGAATCTTTAGCTGACATTACCTTATGCCAATTCCAAAAAAGCACCCTTAAAAACTTTTAGCTTGTTTCTAAGTGGGTAAATATTTAAACTAGTTAGCAAAATTAAACACCAGAATTTTCAGAAGTTATTTTTGTGCATAGTTAAATGCTGCAAGATGATTTCACATTTAATAAAGCAGACTTTAAAGAAGAAGCAATTTGCAAGAAAAGGTGTTCCCTTACAATATCAATCTTAGCTCAGGGGAAATGTGTGTGTGGCGGGGGTTTCCCAGCTTCTTGCAATTGCTTTTCATCTACACTGGATTTCAGTGCAAGTTATTAAATTGTTTGATATCCAGCATGGCTCCTCTTTCTGCCAATCAAGTAAGCAATCAAGACAATTAGGACAAGACCAGCAAGGGCTGCACCAACTATTATAGGGATCAGCATGTTATTTTCATCCAGTTGACATTCTTCCACTGAAGAGAGAGAAAAAGATCCACGTTAGGCACTAGTGCACCAACAGATGGCTATATGCAGAACTTCAAGTTTCTACTCTCAGCACATAGATAAAACTGGCTCAGGTTAACTTCTAGCTTAGCTTGCCAACAACCAAAAGGAAGCCAAGTCCACTAACTATGATCATTCAGGATGAAGTCTTTCTAGCACTAGTTGTATGCACAATATAGATATTTATAACAATTGTTTCCTTCTCAAGAGCTGTTACTGTTACACAAAGCTTAGCCATCATAAATACATGCACATGACTCCTCCCCTAGCCGTTTTCCTTTAACCACAGTCACAAAGGACAGCATTAATTAAGAGAGTCAGCAACTTCCCAGAACTTTCCCCATTTCATACAACTGTCTGCACACAGTTAGGAGGGAAAGTTAATGCTATTTCTTAACTCTTCTCTGGACCACAAGGAACAAGTCCTAGTTATTTCAAAGCTCTTTACGTACTTCTTGCACTAGCCTCCACTCAGACATCTTATCAGCCCCTACAACATCTGTAATAGGGCACGCAGAGACAAAAGCATAGCACCCGCAAGCTGACACTTGACTACAGAATATTATATGTTTATATCAAAGTGCACTTCACAAATCTTAGGTTTCCCCTCCCCCCCAAATGTAAACCTCTTACCTGCCCCAAATTTGTCTCCATCAATCTTGAAAACCTGGATCTGAACATCAAATACATTGACAAGGGCTTTGTCCGTGACCTGGAGATTCTCCTCTGCACTGCACTTGTAGGAGTTCCCTACTGTAGCTCTCAGCTCACTCATGCTGTTGTTCGATGCTTCAAACTTTGGAACTGTGTAAGAACAAGTCTTATTACAGAATCCTGAAGAGCAGGAGCTGTAAGCTCATAGAGCTTAAATTCAGTACATTCATCCCCAATGTTTCTAACAGGTTATTTAATGCAGGCAACCCTTAATATTTATAGAAGTAGTCACTGAAAGTAGACTTCTTAGAAGTCCCTACCTTTTGCTTCAGAAGGCAGAGTCGTGCTTACGTTCACACCTCGCAGGAAGAATTTTTCAGTACTTGCATTCTTTTAAAAAAACAAACCAGTAGTTGTCATTTCAGCTAATGATGTACAACAAACTGTTAAGATTTGGGTTCAATTCTGCATACGTTTTGAGAAAGGTTTTCAAAGGGTAGTCCGCAATTGGGATTAGCATCCAAAGGAAGAGCTTAGTTTCACTTTTAGAGAGAAAAGCTACAGAAGGTACGCACCTTAGGGAAGATTACTTTGGGGGAGGGAAGGGGGGCAGAGAAAGGGGGCCCGTCACCCCTCAGACTGCTGACTTGACCTCCACACTGAAAGTATAGTCCCACCCATGCCTTAACCAGGCTAGTACAATGATCTCACCTGTGCTACAGACACAGCTTTAAAGCAGCTCAGCACCCCACAGGGATGTGGAGAGTCATTTAATAGCAACAGGTCTAGGTGATCACATTTGATCAGTCCTGCAAGTATTACAAGCAGCATGAAGCGGACAAACACAGTGGATTCAGTCCTCAAGGGTACACAGCTCTAATACAGTACTGGGGCAGAGCTGTGGGAAACAGGATTTCCAACCATCGCACACCTGTGGGAAACAGGATTTCCAACCATCGCAGGAGTCCTTAAGACAAGCACACATGGCTCTTGGGCTGTACACAGAATATTAATGAGGACTTAAATCCAGTTCCAGACTGTTTGTCACAGGCTATTCCTCTGCTACAGCAGAACTGTTCCCAGTTTGGGCAAGAAGCTTTACAGAGTAGGCAATACAATCTTAAAAGAAATTCCCATTCCAAACAAAATAGATGTCTATCTATACATACGTGTGTGTACGTACATGTATCTATTCTTTCCCCACAACAGTTACCAAGCATTAAACCCTCTAAATCCTAGTATTAAAAACAAAGGAATTACTTACTCCCCTTCCTGTAGTTGCATCTTTTTTCTCTTGTACTTGCCCCAATTAGTTTTCCCACGTGAGAGGTCCCGCAGACCCTACACGCTTTGTCTAGAGATTCTTACCAATGCAAAGTGGAAGATAACCCTTGTTTTCTCAAAAGTCAGATTCAAGAAGGCTGATGTATTATCGCATGTCCCAG